AAGGGCATAATTTGCTAGCAATGTTGGATGTGGGAGTGAAGGGAGCAAAACGTCCTTGGAATTGCAAGAATTTTTTGAGAAGTCAGTTCTTCTTGGAGGACTAGAAATTGGTCGTGACTAATAGTGGGGATGATGCAACGTGTTCCCTATTTTGTGACCTTTTTGTGTCCAAGGAAAATGGGATCTTCAGTGTGGCATTTCTGAGGGTTTCTCTGTCCCCTTTCACTTCTGCATTAATGTGATGTTTTGAAACTGAAGGAGAGTTCAGAGACTCGTAACAGGGTAAGGCAGGTGCTGCCTATTAGCTCGGAGCTTTTTAAAATCCCGGGAGAAACTGCTCACAGATATAGCTAATTCTATTATGGCATGTAGGTGAAAATAAAATGTCATACTTGATCAAGACATCTATTATTGTGTGTATTGTTGGCCACCAGACAGAACTCTTTAAAGTTACTTTTTTCACTGAATGCTCAAGGAGTTGAGGTAATAGATCTGGAACAAGAAGACTTTCTAAATCTGTCATGTGTAACAGACTGACATAATAGGAAAAAAAATTATTATTATTTTTTTTTTTTTAAGATGCCTTCAGCTCTGTGTTGGGAATCATAGGATAGCAGGAATAAAGCGCTGCTGTGGTCAGGGTTTAGGGAGGAAGCAGGATTACTTAGTAAGGTAACCATTTGAAGGGGTAGTTAACTGATGGTGCTAAGGCATAAATAAATGAGGATGTTTTTTGGTTAAATAATAGGAGAGCTTCTAAACTAATAAGGTAGTTGAAATAACGGAGTTGAGGTAATAGATCTGGAACAAGAAGACTTTCTAAATCTGTCATGTGTAACAGACTGACATAATAGGAAAAAAAATTATTATTATTTTTTTTTTTAAGATGCCTTCAGCTCTGTGTTGGGAATCATAGGATAGCAGGAATAAAGCGCTGCTGTGGTCAGGGTTTAGGGAGGAAGCAGGATTACTTAGTAAGGTAACCATTTGAAGGGGTAGTTAACTGATGGTGCTAAGGCATAAATAAATGAGGATGTTTTTTGGTTAAATAATAGGAGAGCTTCTAAACTAATAAGGTAGTTGAAATAACGTTTGCAGCAACATTTACCGCTAGACTTCACAAGAGCAAATGTGTCCTATAAGGGTTTTGGCTTAGAGAAGCTGTATTAGGTTGTTGAGTCACTGAACTTTTCTTTCTATCAAGGAGTGTATGTGACCGTGCATGCGGGTAACTGGCTTCACGTATGGTGAACTGCATAAATGCATGGAATTCTGATAATTTATTGCCAAAATCGCAGATATTTCCATAGCACGCGACGACTAGCAGCCTGCATTTATCCTAATTACTTTTCCTTTTGGATGCCTGCCTGCCTTTCGTGTGAGACCATTTCCTGCTGTCTAGGATGGCTGTGCTGAATTTGAGAAGTAGTGATCAGAAAGGTAGCGGAGGCAAATATGGAACGGCTTATTTAGAATAGTTGATGAGACAAAATCATTGTGTATTCTGTTGTTACGGCTTTTGCCAGCTTATCGGAAGAAACCCCTTGTTTCTGGGAAGGGGGTAGCAGGGATGAAGTGATACCTAATGATTTTCCAGTGTGTTGTGCATTCTCTGCTTTCTTGACCGTAGAAGATCTCTGCTGGGTATTCAGCAGATCTGCAACGACTTAGTTTGTTATCTGGCAAACTCCCGATCTGGGGTGGATACGGTGTGAATTCCTACCCAGAGTTTTCTCAGAATAAACTATTCTATTTAGGGAATTCCTTCACCATGCTTTCCTTGTGCCTTGTTCTCCAACCCTCACCCCTTCTGTTGGCTTACCCTTTTTGCTAAAATCCAAACAGTTTCTTGGTTTAGTTATTTCATAACCTTTTTCCAGTTACTGCTTTGTATGTTTCTATGCCATCTTCTCCTCCCGAACAAAGATCTTCTGCTGAAGCTGTAAGTGGGGCGCTGCCCTTCGTGATCTGAATCCTCTTGGTAAGTGCTCCCTCTGTCTGGACAGAGCTTTCCTCATCACGCTCGGGGAGCTCCACGCACCCAGTAGTAGTCTCTATAATGAGGTTGTAGATCTTGCCTCGGACGACTGCACCAGACCAGTTACAGCAGTTAAGCTTTTCAGTCTTTGTCACTGTATGAAAATGACAGTATTGCGAAAGAGAAGCTGATGTATGTTAGGTTTTGAAACAGGGTGAAAGGAGGACTTAAGTTTTAGGAATTGGGGATTCTGTGTACGCAGCGGGGGGGTGGGTGGGGAGGAATCGCTTATTTTCCTTTCTCATTTATGATGAATGAATGACCTGAGCTTTGGAGTGGTGGCAAGTCTGTGAAACCTTTGGTTTGTTTTTCGTGAAGGTATTAGGAGTTGGTTTCCCTCATCGTCTAGTTATGATGGAGTGCGAACAAAATCTTGTGAGCAAGTTGGGAAGTGCTGTGCTTGTGTTTAGAATGTGTTGTTTTTCCTCTGCTTCCACTGACACGCGTAGAAGGATAAGGATACCAGTCTCTCTTGCTCTTCAGTTGTGAATATTACCTTACGTCAGCCCTGTCCGTGCAGCCATACACCAAAGCAATTGCCAGGTGTTTTAAGTTGTAATTTTACCGCCTGTGTTGGCATAGTGGCTATAAAGTGGATATGTTACTGAAGAGAAAAACTTGAGTCTTTAAGTAGTCAGTGAAAAGATTTGGGGTTTTGTTTGTGGTTTTTTTTCGTTTGTTGTTTTGTTTTGTTTTTTAGTTGCTTTTTCTTCAGAGTTGGTTTGAACTTGGCCTGGCAACAAATGCAGGTGGCTGGAGGGGTGGGAGGTGAAGGGAACTCCCTGAGCCGCAAAAGCTGCTCACTCCCACTGGGAGGCAATTATTTTATTTAAGATTTCAATCTGGTATCCTTGCTTAGGGTGAAATGCAAATGACTGGGTGCATGTTAGAAGTGTCCTGTAACAGAATATATGGAAGCCATATGTTTCTTCTTACTACTTCTGGCTCTTAGTTGCGTTTAGTAGCTGACTGCCTTAGTATTGTTCTGGTGTCTGTGTGAATGTCCGTGGCCTGTTGAAGTGTATCATCCCACTATCCCTGTTTAGTCCAGCTGAGTGCTTCTTTACGAGGGTTAGAAAACAGGATTACTCCGGAGACCTACGGGAGGGGGAGGGTGCTGCTGCTCCCTTGTAGCAAGGGAGAGTCAGAGTAGGACCGGGACCATGTAAATGTCTAACCAGCCGGACCTGTGGGATCTGTTCAATACGCAAAGATGCGCCTGCAAAGATGTTGTTACCTGCTCAAAAGAATTTGGGGAACTCATGGTTTATCTCCAGTTTCAGTATGTTTTCTTCATCCATTGCTCTTGTTTGGGTCTAAACTGAGACTGAATGTAATTGTTAGGCAGTTTTGTCATGTGCTTGGCAAACGACGTGTTCTTGATCACCTGTCATGATGTGTTTTGGAAAGAACAACTTTTGTTGTGTTCTTAGGTGCACATTGTGTCTCTGCTAGAGCTGTTGGCGTTCAGGATTGTAGATATGAGTCATCTTCATTAATTTTCTGTTGATGGCTGTAGTGTGGTGTGGTGGGGAAAATGAGGCACAGAATTAAGTTTCTTAGAGTGCTTTTGTGTGACAGTGTAGCTATGCTAGCATTGCCCCAAAGATAAGCTACAACCCTTGCGTGTTCAAACATGCAGTTTAAATATTGAGTGAGCTGGGGAGAACCCTTACACCCCACTAACAAAAAAATTCTGTTCGGTCCTGTAGGGCGATGGTGAAAAATTGGCAGTCTTTTATATAAAGAAATGAGAACTGGATAATATTTGTAATGAAAATTCTGTTGTCTGGGTTTCACACCTTTCCACTTTCTTTCATTGGAATTCAGAGCTCAGTTTTCTTTTCTGACAGAAATCTTTTCTCAGCTCATACACTAAAACATGCACAAATATTGGTCCATTTGACACTTTCCTGCAAATATTTAATTTACCTGTCATGTTTCTGACATGTTAGGGGTTAATGTGCCATCCAGGCTGACTGCCATCTTTTAAAATTCAAATGTCTAAACTTTTTTCTAAGTCAGTCCGTGTTTTTCAAACAAAATTATAGGTAAGAAAATTATCTCCATGGAAGTTGTAAAAGTTGTCATCCTTATTTCTTGCCTAACTAGTGGACTGAAAGGTCTGTATGCTGTGAAACCGGGGGGAAAATGACATAGAAAATTTGTGGAAAATGTGGAATAGTATCAGTCTTCAGCTAGAGTGTTGGTGTATTTCTGAGCAACTGTATTGTAAAAACTAAGTTGCTAAACAATGCCAGATACTGGAAAAGTTATTTTATGTTGGTAGCTAAGATGATATTCTGAATTAGCTAGGCCTGCAGCAAGTACGCTTTCCTAAATCACAGCAGCTTGTTTTTGAGGAATTAATAGTAACTACTTAACACATCATACCTGATGTGAAAAGACAGGGGTCTGAACAGGCTGTCCCTACCTTCTTGTTACACTTACGCAGGTGTGATGGCATTTCATGTCTCGTGAAGGTGGGTGTTAGAAAAAGAACATGGGTTTTTCTGTTTAAATAAATAGTATCTTTAATTACCATGACAAGCTTCATGATTGTTCAGAGTAAAGAAGGTTTCTGTGTGGCTGGGCTGCTGTCCTTGATATGTGGCTGTCCAAGTTCTGGCGAAGGACATGTTTTTGGTCTCGTCTTGCCCGTGATCCAGTTTGCTGAGAGGGGGAAGGGAGTCTGAGCATTCCCAGTTGTCCGGCTGGCTTAAAAGTAGGGTGAGCAGATGAGAAGGCAGGGTAGTGGAGAATCATTTAATTGTTTAAAACAAGTCAAAGCACCTGTTACTTTTGCATCCCAGTTTTTGTTAAATAACCTTTTTCAACATGAAAATGTGGGAGTGGGGCAAGTATTTAATGTTAATCTTGTGCTTACGTGTGACTTGTCCGCTCCTTTCTTTTTCCCTTCTCTTCCCACAAGTTCTCTAAATATTTCCTCTCCCTTTCGCAGTGGTAGTCGCTCTTCCAAAACCTTCAAACCAAAGAAGAATATTCCAGAGGGGTCTCACCAGTATGAGCTGCTAAAACATGCCGAAGCCACACTTGGAAGCGGTAATCTCCGGATGGCTGTTATGCTTCCAGAGGGCGAAGACTTAAATGAGTGGGTTGCAGTTAACAGTAAGTCGGCTAACCTTTTTCGTAAGGGGGGTGTTGAATGTGGTCTGACACTTGTGGGAGGACAACTGTGCCTACCCCCTCCTTTTTAGAGGGGTAGGCTCTTTGGTCCTGCAGGCACCACTCTGCTGCGGTTGGGAGAGGTGAATGTAGTATCGTTTAGAGCTGACAGATGCAGAGCGTCTCACCGAGACAAAAACTCCTTAATCTCCTTATGCCAAAAATATGTTCCTGTTAACAAAATAATTCTTATTCTTAGTGGTTAAAGTCTGAGCACTTGATCACAAACAAGTGCTGAAGTAGAAATGTCACTGTTGTTTTAAGAAAGTAGCCTGTCAGTGCCATCTTAATATGTTTAACCTAGCTCTTTTTCAGCTAGGGTTGTTACCCAGTGGTGTAGTCAAGCCTCTACAGGCTAAGCATAAAACCTTAATTTAGTTAAGTGTGAGGGCCAGGTCTAAAAGATGCTAAAGGCTACGGTCACGTATATGGCCTGGCTTTCCTTTTGCCTGTAACAAACCCAGAGATCGATCTTTGCAATTTTCCTAAAGTTAGTTCCTTCCTTTTGTTTCTACCAAGTTGTGAGCCTTTGCTCTGGTAAGTCTCTGATGTCATTATTTTAACTTCCTCTAAAGCTGTTAGTCCTAACTCTCTCCTTTCATGCTAGGTCAGGCCAAACAATGATGCACAAATCACTGTTTTCTGATTGCTTGACCATGTTTCCTCCTCCTTCCTCTCCCTGCTGTATGAATTTGCTGCCTCCCTTCTGCTCTTAAAGAATGGATTAACCCAAGTCCTATCATGCTCCGTAGCCCGTGCAGAGTTTCGGCTGCCACAAACTCTGTGCCCTGTCTGGGTGTTTCCTCATCTTCGGTGTCTTTCGGCTTGGCGTGCTTCCGTGATAGTACAGTATTGTTTGTGTCCACATGGCACAATCGCTGCAGCGCAGTATAAATTATGCTCAAGATAAATGTCTTGTAATTGTTTATGTGGTTCTGTCCATTTCTTCCTGCTCTTTGACATGTTTGGGAAGTGAAACTGTCACACTTGACTTCAACCTTCTGGTTCTTAATTAGCCACACGGTGCTCTGGTATATGACTTGCCACTGCTTCCAGGGAATGTTGAAATTGCTGACACCGTTCTTGATGCAAGTTTATTCACGCTGTATTGCAAAACTGTCTAGAAAAAAAGTCAGCCCGTTTTTATGAGTAAGCATTACTAAAGATGCTTCATGTATTGCTGGCATCCTTCCCTTTTGGGGGTTCCTCCACTCCATGTCTCTTCTTTCCTGTGTGGCAGTGGTGTTTTTCCCTTCCCAGATGACTTAACTGCTAAATTAGCTGGGTGGCAAAAGGCAGCGAAGCACTTGACAAAAGAGTGGGAGCTGCCTTTTGGTAACAAGCTGCATTCTGTAATGAAATGGTCCTCGCCCATGCCTCCTGCAGCGAAGTGGGGTTTTAATGTTTTAATTTTTTTGTCTAGAAGTGATTAACTGATTACGTGCTCCCTTCATTTACAGCATCCCTCTACCACACCTAGTACCAGTTAATGGTAGCTGTGAGCCCCTTCTGTTGATTGAGGTATCTAATAAGGAAATAAAACGTGTGACTTCATGTCATGGGTTTTGCCCTTCACAATAGTGAGAGCACAGGAACAAATGTGCTCTGCTCTTCTACTTCCTCCTCGACTCTTAGCCTCACTGATGTCTCGCGGTAATGAGTTGATGTACATGTAGATTTTTCAAATACGTTTTGAAAATAAAAAAAGGTGAGAAGTGTATGACCAGTTTGTTTGAGTTTCATTTGAAATCTCGATTTGAAAATAACAAAAAATATTTTCAGAGGTAGATCTTGCCCATATCTTTGTAATAGAACACCAGACGGTGTGCACTTCTTTGAGTAGAAAAGCACTTGGAAAAACATCATCTAAGCCCTCGAAACTTAAGAACAATGAGTAAAAAGAGGAAACGAGAAAATGCAGAGACACTGTACAGCTCTGCACATGTTGGAAAGGAGGTTCTTGCGTTTTTCTTGTTTGTCACACGCTGCTGGCTTTGGTGGATGGGTGGTGCGTCCCATGGCCTTTTGAGACTTGCAAGTGTGGGATTCACAATAGTCGCTCATCTTGTCGAAGTCTGTGGGGGTTTTTTGAACATGCTTGCCTCGAAGCAAACATTGGACTGTGGTTTGCACTGGGAGCAGGGAATGGAAACTTAATTAACAGTTCTTGTGTACACTTAAGAAACAAGGGCTATTATAACCGCTTCTTGCTGCCTTCGGTGTTAACTGCCTCCTCCCCCTGCCCAAACAAGCTTTAGGAGTCCTCCTGGTCCTCTGTAACTTTTTTAACAACCTTTCCCAATGTTGTGTTGCTGTTTTCTGCTTTTGCTGTGCGGGGGGAAGATTTTGTTGCTGGACATGAGCTGTGCTAGGTGCGTGCCATACCAGTTTTTATTTGCTTCCCTTTTTTGATACCTGGGAAGTTGCATGACACAGTTGTAGCTCGTATCCTGCATCTGCTGAACAGTAGCTGTAACTTGCTGCCACGATGTTCGTGTAGTCTTTGATGTTTATTCTCTGGTAAAATCAGTGAGGGGAGCTGCAGTATTTAACCCTCCCTTTCCTTCAGCCATCAGTTACTTTCACAGTATGTGGTATCTGCTAGTGCTTACATTTAGGATGTCAATCTCCGTTTCATTACGGCAAAACTGTGTATCTCTGTAATAGAGTTAAGCAAGGAACACCAAGTGATATGCTGGCTTCTCTTTGGCATGGCACCGGATTAAGAGGAGTGTATTGTTGGTGTTAATTCTACAGTGTCCTGCAGATTGGTTGTTTTCTTTGGTGTAAACTTGCCAACTAGAGAGAGCTGTTACTCATTAGGTGACACATAATACATCTTAAAAAGCAATAACAATAAAGTTTTTTCACAAAAAATATTCCAGGACCCTCTTCAGCCGTGTGCGCCTTACAGTTAAGGCTATAGGAAGCTTGTGTTGCCGTTACACTGCAGAGTGTTAATTGATGGTTTAAATGCTTTACAGCTGTCGACTTCTTCAACCAGATCAATATGCTTTATGGAACCATTACGGACTTCTGCACAGAGGAGAGCTGCGCTGTGATGTCTGCTGGCCCAAAGTAAGATTATTTTTTACACACTGTTGAGAGTGTGCAATTTTTGAGATGGTTTTGCATTTGAAAACTTGAGACTAGCTCAGTTGGGTGCCAAAGATAAGGTAACTTCTGTGGGTGGAAAGGATGTCTTCTCTTGTTACCTGTGGAGGGAAAAAAAATTTCAACCTTTAAGGGAGTGGGGAATGGAAAGGTGGTTTTTTGGGGTGTGGTTTTGTTTGTCTGTTTGTGGGGTTTTGGGTTTTTTTCCTTCTGATTTAGCTGGGGAAGTTAAACTGATGATCAAAACTTTTTTCCTTTTTTTTTTCCTGAAATGTTAATGAGGGCTCTTTAGCTGGGGAAGTTAAACTGTTTATCAAAACTATTTTTTCCTTTTTTTTTTTCCTGAAATGTTAATGAGGGCTTCTTTAAACTAAGATTTGAAGTTTTTGTATGCAAGCGTTCAATTAGGGCTTACCAAAATCTTTCTTTTAGGTGTTTGAGTAGGTATTGTAGAAATAAGCTTGGCTCCAGTTTTTAGTAGTCGGTATAAGAATCCCCTACCCTGTCTCTCAGTTAAGTTTCACTTCTTTGATTCTTGGTTATGCTTTTGTACAGACATCCCACATTTGTGTGTTTTCTTGCTTTCCAGCTGCTTAGTGTCTTCCAAAGAGGAAAATACCTGTCAGGGAGGGCACTGCTTCCTTTTAAATTACTGTAAAATCTTAAATAAATCAATTTCTAACAATCCTCTCCTCCGCTTCCTCCTCCTTTATAATGACAATTGTTGCTGTTTTCAGAAGCCAGTAGTTGCCAGCCTGTGTGGTGGAGAGCTGAGGACATGAAAAAGGGTGCTGCTGGGAGGGCTAGGTAGAGAGGGCAGGAGCTCTGCGAGGCGAAAGCAGCCAGACGGACCAAGAGAAGATTTGGCACTAGGTTCTTAAACTAAAAATGGACGCTGCTGAATGCCAGAACCAGTGTGGCCAGGCAGACCTGCTGCCGCAAAGCGGGGAGGGGTGAAAATAGAAAAGGAATAGAAGTTTACCAGTATGCAAAAGAACTTTGGGATAAGCTTGTGCAATAACATAGCCCGTTGTCTGCTTTGTGCTTTGGCATGCAGAACAGACTCTTATTTATTAAATAAGAGCATGAAAATATTTTTGCTTTATTGTTTGTCTGCTGAGAAGCAGAAGATGCATTCTGCCAAGGTTTTAATTAGATGATCTTGTTCCTAGGATTTGTAGAGCGTTCCCCAAACCCTGCAGTCCCCACCTGTGCTCGGGGATTGGTTTTGTGAAAGGATCAGCAGCGTGTGTGCACGTGAGGGGCCGAGGGCAGGCAGGCAGGGGAGGGGGTGATTTGTGAGGCTGGTGGTGATCAGCAGCGCAGCATATACAGTGTTTTTTAGTTCGAGTGGGTGTGGCCTTCTTTTACTTAAAAGGTGGCCTGCAAAGTTCTTTTCAGGGAAGTACTGCTGGAAAACCTGTCAGTGTGAAAGCACTGACATTTATGGTTTGGGTTTTTTTTTCTGTTTCCTGTTCTCTGTTTCCTGTTCTCTTTTGGCTCAAGCTCTATTAGTTGAAGAGGCATTGAGTCTTAGGTGCTCGTTGGTGCTTCTAGGCTGAAGGTTGCTGTCTGCTCACATCCACAGCTGAGCTACCACCGGTATTGCATCCTCATCTATTTCAGACAGAAGAGTATGAGTTAGCTGCAACAACTTACATAAGGTCATTTGAAACAGGTTAGGCAGCCGTAGCATGAATAGCTGGAGAGAACCAAAAGCAGCAAGCACTCTACGGCTCAAAAGTCTGATTTTTGCATGCCCACTGGAGAAGTGTTTATGGTCGATATATTAAAGAAGGGTTGTAAGGTGCTGGTGCATACGTAGGTAGTTGTTTAGAACTCATCGTGGCTCAGTCACAATTTTTATAGCGCAGCTGACAAACTTGTAGCAGTCTGTGGAAAAATTAAATCAGACCTCTTAAGTGAGAGGGTAACCAGAGCACTAATGTGATGTTTCCTGTGTCCACTGCCTGGTACTGGTGTTTTGTAACCCTTTAAAACCCTTTTAAAAGAAAAAATAAAACAAGACCCTTGGCAAAGACTGGCCACCTAGGTTCATGTCTGGTTTTTTGTGTTTTATTTTTGATACACGGAGGGTTATCTTCTCTAAAGGGCTACCTTTAAGCAAATGCTTGGGGCTGTACGGCTACTTCTCCGGCCTGCTGGTTCTTTTTGATAGTGATGTTAACAGAAGGGCTTAGCTGAGGCAGCTAAACTTTGTGTGCTGTGGGATCACTTTCATTTCTTCTGGACTTGTCTTTGTTGGAAGGATTGCTGACTTAGCTTTTATCAGAGTGTTAGTGCGTTGTGTAAGTTAAGGATTGACGTAAAGATCAAGAACAGATCTCCCTCTCCTGCTGTACAGCTCATGGTCTAACAATTTGAAAAAAGTACTGGTTTAATTTGTTCCAAAACATACGATTACTCAAGGTAGCGTTCCATTCCTTTCACTTCAGCAAAGACCAACCGTTTCTTACCCAAGCAAACCCTAGTTGGTTGTCACTTCTTGCTATTTTTATATCACCATCAGTGCAACAGGCATGATAATTAGTTAAGAACCTGCATAGAAGTAATATGTTTATTAACCAGCATTGGGTGAGGGGAATTTTCTTTATTTTCCTCCCTGGTTTTAAGTCTTCAATAAGAACACAAAGGAGGGAGATGGTTGCTGCATTCTTCAAAGCTGAACTGGGGCTCTAAAATCCATGTTTAGGCACATGTGAGGGATGGCTGCTGCATTCTTCAAAGCTGGATGTCTGAACTGGGGCTCTAAAATCCATGTTTAGGCACATGTGTGTCAGTGCACTAAGCTCACTCTTAATGGCGGTGATATCCTTCTGATTTTCCTGAGGTTTGTTGGTCCACGGTGCTTCTGTCTTCATAGGTTCAAATCAGAATAGCTGGGCACTCCGAAGCGGACGGCTCCCGTAAATCCTACATGGCTGTGATACGGTGTAATTGAATGCTTACATGCTGCCTTCTGCCCCGTGTTTCTGCAGCAAAAAAAGGAATAAAACGTGTAATCAGGTCCTTAAAATACCCTGTGTCTCTTAGCAATATCAATCCTTTTGCCTTTTTCTGACGCTCCACTCTGCAGCTGTATCACTTGATCACTGAGGGACAAAACAGAGTAAGTATTTTTCAACAGTCTTGATGTAGTACAGTTTTGCTGAGATGTAGAGATGATAGGTCCAAATAAATGTCCGAGAATCTTCTAAAAGGCATTACTGAGCCACGGCATTTTATCGCTGTTGGACAAGGTAATAGCTTTAATTTTAGTCCAGCTGGGTTTTTTTGTTTGTTTGTTTGGGCTTTGTTTTTGTAGTGTTTTTGGTTTGTTTTTGGTTTTTTTTTTTTTTTTTAGGCCACATACATGTAATGGCGCAGTAGAGGAGCTGGTCCTATGATTGTTTGTACTTAGGGATATTTTCTAGTGTGAGAAGCATAGTTGGGTTTTCTGTTTATAGATGGCAAATAACTTGTGTTTTTCAGTATGAGAGAATTCTACCAGAGTCGTTAGGGATTCTTAGCTTTTCCCCTGCACTTGCTGAAGTGAACTGTATACTTATTGCTCTATCCTTCACGTATCGTTTTGCCCTTAAAAACCTCTGCTAAACTGTAGAGGTTTCTAAAAATGTATTTTATGTAGAGGAACTGCCTATGACGATAAGGTTAATCTGTTTCTATCACCAGAGCTGTAGGTGTTTGCTCACAAGCTTGAGCTAGAAATGTGATTTTACCCGTTATTAGTAGTAGCAGTTTATTAGTAGTAGCAGTTCAAATGTGTCTAATACGTGGGAATTTTTTGTGTGTGTTAGGCTTTCTTTTTTGTTTAAGAAGTTGGGCTGGGATTCTTGATTTCTTTTCAGTGATGTAATTAATCTTGTAGGAAGAGTTCATTTTCCCCTCCCTTGTGAACCCCAAGCCTTTTGATAGCCTAGGAACAACCGTGAACATTACGCGTACTGCGTGGAGAATGGGGTGTTTGCCGGAATACTTTCAGATTCTCTCTATGACTTTTTTTTTGTCAGGACATATCTGCTGTTTCTTAAGAGCCGTGTTACTTAAAGGGTCATTTGATGGCATTCCTTCCTCCAAAAAATGCAGAATTAACCTATAGTTTTGGGGGGTGGGGAGGGAGGGAGGCTTCTTACGGTGGATATAGGTTATTTGGGTGAGATTTTTAGCACGTAATTTAGTTTACTGTCTTACTCTGTCTCCAGGCTGAACCTGGCACCTCAGCTAAGTGCTGATACTTGTCCTATGTTAATGCCACTGAAATCTCAGTATTAGGGTAATACGGGGTGCTGAGGAACATTGATTTTTCAGAAATCCGGACACGTGGTCCATTCAGTGTGTATGGAATTTTTGCATGTGTTTTGAGATACAATTTTAAAATGCTTTCAGGCCCTCTGATTTGTTGCCGTTATAAAAATGGTTTTTTTTTATACCATTGGGAGCAGCACGCTTGTAATTACTCGTAAAATTTGTTTATTGTGAAAATGTTCTCCCAGTTACTGTTCTGACAAAACTGAATTTGTTAAACAAAATTAGAAGCCAGATTTATCAGATACAGTTAAGCTTTGCATAAAATGACATGTACGATCCTTAAAATAGAAGACCTTCTCCAGTGTCCACACAATACTTACCAGAGATAGCAAGGGAAAGTTTGAACGGTGGTGGTTGCAGCCCAAACTTTGTGGTGATCTTTAAAATAGAAGACCTTCTCCAGTGTCCGCACAATACTAATCAGAGATAGCAAGGGAAAGTTTGAATAGTGGTGGGGGCAGCCCAAACTTTGTGGTGTGCTACAACTGTACTAAGAAATAACAATCAAAGTGAGCTCGCTATCCTCCACGAAAAGAAGTGGTATTGACCATTAATAACACCTCTTCTAATTCTTTTAATAAGAACTGAGATAAAACTTGTCGATGAAGTGGGTATGTTTCTTGTAAAAGCATGACTGAGCTGACAGCACTATCCTTGTATGTTTTGTTTTGTTAGTTTGTTTTAATTTTATGTTTTTAAATGAGGAGTGTTGCAGCTGGTCTGAATCCTTGTTCGTTGGTTTCTCTGGGAGGATTTCAGAGCTGCAGAGCTCAGCAGTCCTTTTCGCTTCTGGCTTGGCAGCAGGCTTGCCCCACGGCTAGCCGTTCTGCAGCAATGCTGCTTGGCTGAGCAAGGCTGGCTGATTTAAAACCGACGTGGGAGATGATCCTGTGTTCAGATGTAAAAGAGAGGGCTATGCACGGCTCTGTGGTGATGAGGAGAAACTGCTCAGATGTTATGGGTTGGCAAGGAATATTACGATACGTGCATTTGTACTCAGCAAGACATAGAAAGAAACTGTGGTTCACTTGAAAGCTGGTATTGTCAGACTCCCAATGTTAAATGTGTTTGGTTATTTTTTTAAGCTATATGTTCCCAAGATCAGCCGTCTTCTCTGGAAGATGAGAAGTCTGGACTTGTGTCAATTGTGTTCCCCAAGCCAGTCAAAATATCTGTCCCATTCTAACTTCATGAGGACTTGTTTCTGCCTGGTTGTGCATGTAAATGGATGCTGTTTAATACTTTTTTCCATGGCTTTTTAAATTCCTGAAGTTAAAATGGTAACTGTAAAATGAATGATGCTGGAATCCACTCATTAAATTTGCCACATAAAAGATGTCAACATGACTAGCTCTGTGAATAGAAAAGGATAAAAGCAGCACACATTTTACTGTTCCGTAGTCATGTCAGTGGTTTATAACGGTGTGGTATCACCTTATCTACAGATGGAAAAATTAAGCTAAAAGACTGTTACTGGCCTGCAACTATCAAGTGGGTCACTGGTATAACTGGAAACAGAGATTTTTCTGAATCTTGGTGCGCTGCATGTTAGCACTAGACCTTCAGACATGAACCTTTTCTAAGGAGTACTATTTAGTCTAGAAGCTTTCTTGTAACTGTTAGCTGGCAGGCACTTTATACCAGCTTCCAGTTTTGTAATCGTATTCTGTGGCGTTAACCTACCTCTGAATCTATTCCGTGTCTCTAATACAGTCATATTTGGGATCTCTGGCAAGAGCCAATGTGGTTTGGTCTTCAGTTATGCAAAATCTATAAGAATATTTTCAAATGTGAAGTAATTCTATAAATTTTAGGGGTCTAATGTGTCTGGCTGGCAGGTGCTGCAGATGTTGAGCATTGCCACTCGCTTTGCAGTTGTTCTCTACCGGTGGAGGTGATGAGAAGCCCATTGCTAGGGCTGACTGGGTGAAACTTCACATTAGATATCAGTCGGGTGCCTTCATCGATTTGAGCCCTGGAGTTTAGCTTTTATTACCGTGAGAATCCCTTGTAACTTTTTGATGTTTCACTTGAACAGGCTGTCATGTTTTTCTTTTTTGGTGTGTGTGTGGAAGCTTTAAGAAAGAATAAGTAGCAGTTGGCCTTTCAGGGTTTGGAAACCTACTCCTGCAGCACCTTTTGATGTGCAGGGGTTGCAGGTTTGACCGCAGGCTGCCATGTGCATTTTGGCAGGAGCGTTGCAGCCGAGGATGAATGAGTTGTGCTGTAAAGGATGAAGTTTTTGAAGGCCTTCACAGACTGCAGAAGAGAGTCCAGCTAAAGCAGGATTGCAGTGGGGAGACTGGGTACAGAGCAGCCGCAGATTATCTCGGGATCATTTGGACCTTAGTTTCAAGGAAGGGCTGTGGGAGGGTGTGGGAGTACGGGGAGCGGAGCAGGAAGAGCAACCTTCTAGGCCTTGATATGAATGATTCACTTGTGTTAAGAAATGTCTTGTTGTTGTCGTCCCAACCCAGGTATGAGTACCACTGGGCAGATGGGACAAACATAAAGAAACCAATTAAGTGCTCTGCACCAAAGTACATTGATTACCTGATGACTTGGGTCCAGGATCAGCTGGATGATGAAACGCTATTTCCTTCTAAAATAGGTAAAGTAAATAAGTAAAACTGAACAATGTATTTGGATTACAGTTGTACAGGAATATTTAAGTCTTGCAGCATTAAAAAGTCTCCTAAATGACTGATGAGTAGGGCAACTCTAAAAGGTTACATTATATATATATAAAGGCACTTTTATCTCTTAAGATAAAATTTATGTGGTAGTACGTGAACTCTGATCCATGTGTTAATACTCCTAATGAACATCTATCAATTCTGAATGCAGGAAGTACTGTTCCTATTTAATAACTGACTGTGTTGACCAAATCTGATGTTTTTTCATTTTGAACAGTGGGTTGTTTCCTTAGAAATAAGGCAGAGGGTCTCAAAACCTTGTAACCAGTAGTTGGTACAAACTGGCAGCTTTTTGGTGCAGGAAAGGTGTTTGGTCCTCGTGAGGAACGTCTCCGAGGCCTTACCTCCAAAGAAGCTGAATTGCATCTTTGATCTTAAGTTAATTTTTTTTCTTTTCAAGTGAAGATGAAAGATGTATGTTTTTAAGAGGTTTCTTTCAGAAAAGCGGGAGGAAAACAATGAACAACCACCAGTTCGGAAACGATAACAAGAAGAAAACCCTGCTTCTAGAAGCACGAAGGACTAGTTGTTCGAAAGCTCCTAACTGGCAGTTTTCCAGTACACCACTACTCATAGGCTCGTGATCCATTGTGGAAAAAGGGAGAGAGATCTCTTAATTGCTTTTATTTTGTCAATAGTTTCTGAAGCATTTGACACGTTTTCAGTAAGCCTCTTCAGAGAAACAGGGCCACCTGGCAGAATCGGTGGCATTTGTTTTTACTTGCCGTTAAGCAGATATGCAGAGAAGGCTGGTTAGTTTGGGAAGAAGTGACAAAAAGGTCAATCTTCCCTGCTCAGTAGATGTGAGCATGGTTTCTTTGCGTACTGTGGCATTTGTTTTAGTGTTTCAGGGTAGAGTACAGAGCTGGGGTAGAATTCCACTACTAATAGGAATGATATTAAATAGTTACAGTTAATATTAAAGCTGTGTTCAAAAGACTACATCAGGACTTGATCTTTCTTTAACTGCAGCATATACCTCGCTGAAGACTTTTTTTCTTTTAATAGGATGTATTTTTGAAAGGTAGCAATTGAGAAAGAGACTTAAAAGCCCCGATGGATAACCAACTAAATACGAACTTCCCATGCGATGCAGCAGCCAATGAAGGAAATGCGATGTACATGTAAGCAGGGCAAGCTTAAGCAGGAGTATGAAAATTTTATTGCTAGGGTTTTGAAGCATTGGTGAGATCATGATTGGCCAACAGCATCCAGCTTGGGCGTCTGGCCTTCAGACAGGACTTCAGCAATTGGAAAGACTGCAAAAGAACTAAGCTGACTGGGAAAACTGCTACGTGATGAGAAGCTAGACAGGTTTAATCTTTTTAGATGGTTGATACATATCTTTTTTTAGCCTGCGGATGTGTCAACTGAAGAGATTATTGCTCCCAGTAGCCAGTTGCTGTTTCTTAACCAATTTTAATAAAACTTGCGCACTGACAAAGATCTGCTGTTACAACTGATTTTACCTGTCCTGGGTCATTCTCAGTGAAATGACTGAAAGGAGCATGTTTCAGAGTACTTTAGCAGGCACTTGAGAAAGCAGTAGCCTCTGGCTAAGGGATGGTGATGAGCAGGATGGAAACTGGAGTCTTTTTGCTGGGCACGAGACAGGTGGAAGAGTGCCTATTTCTGATTTCACTTTAGCCAAAGAGAAGTGTAAAACTTGATGGCTGATACCTTTGTGTAGGTTAACTGCAGCCACCTTTGGTATCTGGTGTCCCGTGGAGTACCCTGTGGCATCTCGGACACGTGCACAGAGCCATTGGTGAGACTCGGAGCCTGCAGGAGACTTCCCCTTTTCTGCATTGGCAGTCAGAGGCCAGGCAGGCACTGAGAGGGCATCTACAAGCGCATTAGATACCTGTGTTTGGGTATCTGAATCCTACCAAAAGGGAGGAAGATTCTCGGTCAGAGAAGGCTCTTCAGGGAACTATACTGAGGCATAACAAGATTTAGTGGCTGGAAGCTGAGGCTAGGAGGGTTCAACACAGAAATGTACTCAGATCTGTCTTGGAGCAAGTTCATGAGCCACTGGTCTACTGGAGGGAGGGACACCTCCCCTCTGGTCTTTCAGTGAGCTTGTCGTTGTGCTTCAGCCTAAGTACATTGTGTGATTTACAGACGGAATTGCTGAGTGAAACGGAACAGCCCTTCTTGTGCAAGAGATCGGGTTGGGTTCTAATGGCTTTCAAAGTAGATGAACATGGCATGGGCATTTAAAAATAAGCCATCTGTTTTCTTATTTCTAGGTGTACCGTTCCCAAAGAATTTCATGTCAGTGGCAAAGACAATTTTAAAGCGTCTCTTCAGAGTTTATGCTCACATTTATCACCAGCACTTTGATCCAGTGATCCAGCTACAGGAAGAGGCACACCTTAACACTTCTTTCAAGCACTTTATATTTTTTGTTCAGGTAAGCGTGGCAGGAGCATTATGGTTACAATTACATTCTGGAAAAAGTAACGTATCAAAGTAATGCCCCTTCAGTTTCTTAACAGCTGGTGTGTTTGTAGGATAGTCAACACCTCCAGGATGCTAAAATAATGTCTTACTCCATTTTTATGTATATTTACTGCTAGAAGCCTTCAAGGAATAGAAAAGTTTTCAATGAAGTATTCGTTTGCTACAAAATGGAATAACGAAAAGTGTTCCCTACCAAATAATTTAGTAGAACAGTAATTCCCAACAAAAGAAGGAGGGAGGACGGCATCTGAAGCTAGACTGAAAAGACTGTGCTTGCTTCAAAGCTACATTTCCACCCCACACCCCCCTTATAAAAAAAGAGCATCTTCTTACATTTCCTTCCTTTAAGTGGGGGGAAAAAGCTTTAGGCAGTCGAACACTGCTATTCAGCTAATGGCAGACAGGCAGAAAATGTGGTGGCGGCTAAGCCTGGACTCTCAGAGCCTACAACCAAATAACTTCTATCTGAATAAGACTTCTCACCTGAGCTGCACATAGGAAACTCTGTATGTATGTCTTTCTCCTCATCCTTGTTACAGGAATTCAACCTTATTGATAGAAGAGAACTCGCACCGCTTCAAGAACTGATTGAAAAACTCACCTCTAAGGACAGATAAAAGGAAGAGGATTTCTTGAAGTCACTTGTTTCTTTAAGCAAGCGTGTGGTATTTTTTTTGTTCATTTGTTGTTTTTTTTTTTTAAAAAAACAAAACAAAACAAAACCCAGTGCTGTTACTCACGACAGCCAAGATGTACTTTCTGTGCTTTTATTAGGGGAAATCTTTTATCTGTTAGTGACACATGGTAAATAGTTTTGGGTTGTTTTTTGGTTTTTTTTTTTTTAGTTGTTGTTATTCATTGTGGAATTTTAGCAGGTGCTGAGTGTTTATAAAGGAAACATGCTTGGTTGGGGGATTGACTCTGCTGGTGCATGGGTTCTTGTATTGTGTCAGTGGTAGCCCATTCTCATGAAGTCCCTAAAAGACTTGCTTACGTTCTCTAAGTGCCTTGGCAGACTCATTTCTGAGGTGCAAAGCACATACAATACTGAACATTGCTGGAAACAGAAAATATGAACTAACACCCAGGACACTTACTGATACTTGTTTTAGAAAAATATATATATGCTTACACTAAAAAAAGCCATAACTTACTGAAATCAATGATCTCCAGCTTTTAATACAAATATTTGTCTTATTTTTTTAGAGATGAATATAGAGTTTTTCAAAACTAGATATTTCTTATAAAGAAAAGTGATGGTGAAGTTCTAGTCGCTAAAGCGAAACGATGAAGGTGGTGTCAAAATTACGAAGAACCCATGCTTAGCAAGTAGTTATGTGTCTGTTGCCATTGGTTTTGGCTTCTTATAGTTGCTTTTATTTTTTTAACAGGGAAGCATCAACTTGGGTCAGTCACTTTTGTTAAGTTTCCTAGCATTTGCCAAATGAACGGTTAGTTTGCACAAATACAGTTAGGGAAAAAAATCAATATAAAATAAAAATGCACTGGGGTAATACTAAGGAAAATCTGGCTCGAAAAATAACTAGTGAAATGATGTTTGTAAGTTAGGAATGAAAAGCCCTGGGTCTGTGGAGGAGCTCCACAGTGGCCAGTGTTTTCTGTGGTAGGAAACATGTCTTGGAGGGAGTATAATTTCATGGACCGCTTTGGATTTACGTTAGCATGATGGTGTTCTTCCCCATTTAAAATCGCAGCCCACCTCCAACGAACTACAGCAGTTGGGAAAAGTAATAGGAACGTACTGGTGAATTCTTAGTGGTTTGTAATTTGGTAGGTGCATCTTCTGTTTCTGAAAAAAAAACTAAGCAAAATGTGGCCTTCCCCCACCCGGGTTAGTGTCTGCCTCTCGAGCCTTGTGTTTCCTCAAACCAGAAATGACTCGCCCGTGAGAAGTTAACCTCTGGGGTGATCCACAGACGGTGACTTGGAAATTTCTGCTGCAACTGTATCAGTCAGGTTTCCCATTGCAGAAGCCCGTATGACTAGCGCTCTTGTTCATTTATGGATCTTGTCAAAGCTGTTGTATTTTGGAGTCAAAGAAATCTGTATGAGGTTCTGCAGTCTGCTACCCCGTGATATCACTAGTTGCCAAATACAGTACAGTAGGTGGTTGATGTTGCCAGGCTTTGCTAGATTGTGACTCCGCAAAACCACCATTTTTAGACCAGAAAAACATGAAGACCTTAACTGACTGGTGTACGCTTGACTGACTCCGGAACCTCTAAAATTTACAGGTGAAGCCAAGGTCAGCATGCAACAGAAAAGTTAGGCTTACAATTTTGTGCGCCTTTGCTTGACCGAAAAAGCTGAGTAAAGTGGAAAATACTGTGCAGCAGCCTGCAAAAGATGTAAGTGGCCGTCAGTATAGCCAGGTAATAAACATATAAGCACAGTAATGAACACGCATGCGTTTGGGAGACTAGAATCACTACTTCTGAGGTAAAACGATGTCTTTCAGAAGCATTTGAAGGTTATTTTAAGAACTATGTTATCTTCAGTGGAGTTAAATTTCCTAGTCTGCTTAAACTGCTTCCTGGAGAAGCAATTTAATGTTTTGTTACCTCTTCTGTCTCTCCCGCTCATTCGTGATGTCTTTGCAGCTGCAGGATTGTTTTTAACCGAGTAGCATACCTGACGTCTGATCTGGACGTGGCTACCTAAGCCTGGTTTGGGAGCAGTAGGATGGCAGCGCTAGCTTTGGGCGCAGGGTTGGAGGGCTCTCTTAGTTCAGGACTGAATAACGCAGAAGACTGTCGTCTCTGCAGAGTTACGGGAGCGGTCAGCATCGACCTGACTACACAAAAGCAGCTGAACTCCCAAATTCGAACTGCGCTATTTTAAACAGACTCCAGTCATGCGGGAAGCTGAATTTAGGAACGTGATCTTAGACACGCAGCCTTTTATGCATGCTTCTATCTGAGGAGTGTTTCATGACAGAAAATTTCCAGCTACAGAGGCGTTTCCAGATGCAGTTTGATATTAAAAACCCTGTAAACTTTCCAATGAAAACCGCTTTGAGTTGAGTCAGTGCTGCTTAAGAGGCTGCGTGCGCATGTTCACTGTGCTGATAATGCTTACTGTAGAGGAACCTTTTAACCAGTGCTAGAGCTCATGTTACCACGTCGCAGCAAGACATGAGAGTGAGAATGGTAGAAGCGTGCTCCAAGGTGCTAAATAGGAGGTAACCTCCATTAGATTTAAAGCTGTCTCACTGGTTTAGTGTCATGTACCAGCAAGAAACTAAAAAGAAAAATACTTAGAAGTGAGGATTTGCTTGGAGTGATACCAGTGCAGTAGTTCTCATTTTTGGCATACTTCTGCTCTGGAAGGGTGGTTTTGGTTTGGTTTTTTTTTTTTTTAAATAGCCAATTCTAGAAATTCAGAGGCATCTGCTGCAGTTCAGCCAATCAGAGTTAGAATGTATTATGCTAAAAAAAAAAAGAAAAGTTTTACGTGGATAGTGTATTTCTTGTATTTAGTATCTGGCAGTAGAAAACACTTTTACAGAATAGTTTCTAGGAATGTAATAAAAGCTTGGAGATCATGATTTGCCTGACAGCTGTATGAACACATTGTTTAATTATACAACACTTGAAAATAACAACATTAAAGATATGTATGCAGTGTTTGGGATTTAGTATCCCTATGCTGTTTATATTTGCAGCTTTTAATTGTTTTTTGCTTCAAAAAGGTGTGGGACCAGAAGTTGATGTGTGTTTACGCTCTTGAAGTAATGGCACATGGAAATGCTAAAGAAAAGCTGCCCTGTTGTACAAATGGAATCGGGGTCGAGTGAATGTGTGTATAAAATAGTGCATTTGTTGGGGGGAAGGGGGAGGACACCCCCTCACCCCCCCCCCCAAATAAAACCCTGAGAAACGAACGCTGAACAAACCCCGCGCTGCTCTAGGCCCACGTTACAGATGGACTCTGTTACGTGTCACGGGCGCTTTGAGGCAAAAACTTTCAGCTTTGTTGTCTTTGGGAGCAGAAGGTGTTGGCGGGGTTACACCAGGCTGGGCTGCCAGTGCTGGCTGAGGCCTTCTGGTGTGATAGGGTCCTTAAATTCTGTGGTTTGTGGTGTTTTTCAGCTACCAGCCTATTAGACCATGTCAGTGATTTGGGTGGTAACTTCAGGAGGTCGTCTACCTCGAGACGGGATGGGGCAAACTCTGCTAAGTTCGTCAAGTTCAGCCGCCGTTGCCAATGCTGACACTGTTTAGATGGTGTGGATACATTAAGTTTGCAGAAATAATTTCTCAAGTCAGGGATACAGGTTAATCATGCAAATAGAAAATAAAAATGCCACATTCTGCTGTTGCAGGTAGCTGAATGGTAGATGAAGGGAGAGAGCAGGTTTCAGGAGGCAGGTGGCCCGTCTGCAAGTACCAAGTTTCTTTTACTGCTTACTATGCAATGTAGAGCTTTGAACTTTTGCTTTTACTTTAAGATATAGAGGAGCACTGTCCTTATTCAGTATTTAGGAACTGAACACTCTCCCAGTCTCCCTGACACTCATTTAACAGGTAAGGATACCTATTTGCTGCTATGGACTTTACTTACCTTTCAGATTGTTCCTTTCTGCTTCTTGCGCCTCCCCCGTCCCCCCTGTCCCCGAATCACCAGACACAATTTTACTATAAACACATCCTTTTCGGATAGTTGTTCTTTTTCTTGCTACCCTTTCCCCCCTTCCTACCTGCCAGAGTGCTGTATTACTGTATATAAACCGCCCCTTTTAGTTGGACTATTTAAACCGCCCCTTTTAGTTGGACTATTTAAAAAGCTGCAGCACGAACACAGGCTCCTTGCTTTTCTTTCACGAAAAGATTCCCTGTTACACTGAGTTGTTTCCTTCACCGCTGATATCAGTTGTCTTTTTTTTCCAAACTGCACTACTAAAACCACTAACGCTTTCACGGATGCCTGTCGTCTTTTCCTGGATATCTTCTCTTTTAAGATGAGACTACCGTTGGTTATTTTAAGTATTAAACCTTTTTATTTTCCTGCTTTTCTTGCAATTTCCTCTTGCCAGGTTAAGACTGCAGTCTAGGTAAATATCAAAGTACGTTTTTGTTTGAAGAACCAAGTCGCTAAATTGTTCATAGAGTATTGTATTTTTAGGGGAAATTAATTTTTATAGCCACTAAACTATACTCATTATTTTTGTACGTTTGCAACTTCTGACATTTTTCAGAGACATGTCGTGGAGGGAACACTTATTTTCATGGCTGTTTTACTACTTCGGTATGTTGTGGTTGTGTTGCTTAGTACCTAGAAGCACATACCTTGATGTGCAGTGGGAGAGAGAAGAATGCAATAAAAGTGAATGAGGTTTCAATAAAAGGCCATTTTTGAAGGCAAAAAAAAGAGATATTATGAAAGCAACCTTAACCTTTCCTCCTCCTTTGGAATCTTAAAATATATGGGAGAAAACGCGGTGTAAAATATAAAATGTAAGATGAAAAACCTTACTGTAAGCTAACTGTGCCAATATCGCTTCAGTTTGTAGTCACTGATTGATACTTTAAACAAGAACAGCTTTTGATTAAAAAAGAAAAACAAGTTGAATGTTTGAAAATCTGCAACGTGTTTATTTGAGAGTTGTAAATAATGTATACATATTGTTGTATGTGATGGGACAAAATATTTAAATTCTAGGTTTTTTTCAATAAGAAACTGAAGGCTGTTTATAAGAGAAAATAAATAGCTATGTTTGACCATGATTGTCTTCATTTCCTTCTTGAACTTGTTTCTAAATTATCTTCTACTTGTAGATAGATTTTCTTCTGTATATTGTACACATACGAACATTACACATACCAATTAGATTTTTGTAATCGCCTTGTCTGAACTTGTGAATATTTGTATTGCAGGCAGACACAATAGCAATAAAACAACCTGATACCCTTTTCATTTCCTTGTTTCGTGACCTGAATGTACCTAGCACGGATGGAGCTCGGTGTGGGATTCCCCATAACAAGTTTAGTATCGCATTACGTGCATCTCGGCGCCGATCCTGGGGTGGTTTTGAAAGCTTTGCTACGAGGAGGGTGTCCTGTCGCAGCGGTAGCGCTCTGCTGTCTCAGGTCACCAGCTTCACACGAAGCACAGACTCTGTTTTTGGTCGCGTGCGGCAGCACTGGTGCCTTTTTGTTTTTTTCTTTCTTTCTCCTGAAAGCCTCCCGTGACCCTGACAGCTGCAGCACTCCAGGTTTCCTGGCCCTCCCATCCGCCTGAGTTTCCCTCCGCCTGCCCTCCGCCTTCTCCGCTCACACCCGTAGCTCCAGAGCACCCCGTCCCGTGGTAAGTCGTCTCTCGCGCGCACCTGGAAAGCGGTTTGTGCCACCGAGTTGAAAAGGTGGTTAAAAAAAATCTTGCTTTTACTTCAGTCCCCACAAATCGTGGGTTGGGTGCGTGGTTGAGGGTCTGTGCAAAGAGCGTCTCGTCTCGGACGGCACTCGCAGCTTGCAGCCGTCGTACACAGTCTTACACCAGAGCGCGTGTTGGCCACGACTGCCTCGCTGCCTGTGCCCGTTTCATAGACGTGAGGATTTTTTCCCCCGTTTAATGTGGTCCTGCGAGAACCAAACCGGTGGTAGGCCGTGACGGCGGTGTGGGAAACGCACTGTCAAGTTAGGGGGTGGGCAGCTGTTCGGGGGGGTTCAGGGCTTTCAGCGGTAACCCTCTAAACCCGTGCCCTTGATCTCCTTTCGGTCCAACCCGCGTGTCACTGGTAAGGTGGTGCTGAAGACTTTTAAGGTAAACGGTGGGACTCTGTGGCCTTTCTCCTGCTCTGCCTGCAGGCGAGCACCCCTCTCTTCTCGCTGTAGAAGGAAGCTTTGCCTCAGGGCGTGGGGAACCGCTGCCCGGGAGGCGGGGGGGGGGCGGCGCCC